TTTCCTCTCACTCTAAAGCTTGGGCAACTCCAAATGTCAATGATGTTAGTTTAGCCATTGTACACGGCTGGCCACATCTGAATGGGTGACTTGTCCCCAGGCCAGCCCCCTACAATGGCCTCCTTTCTCACTCTGACTTGTTCTCAGCATTTTCCCCCCTCCATGAAGAGAGGGCTCTCTCTCTGGCTCTCTTAGCTCTTTGGCTCTGCTGAGAATCCTGGAGCTGGAGAAACTGGAAGAGAGGGAGCAGGAGATCAAGGGAGAAAGCAGTGAAGGAAGGATGGAGGTTGGGAGGTCAGTGGGTGGACCGTGACAGAGCAGCAAGCCGTTTTATAACCAGAATTGTTACAGTGTGCTCTGCAAATAATTACCAGCATAGAGGAACGGCGGTAAATCTGGCTTTCACACACCGGCTAAGCTTGTTAGTGTATTTAATCGGACAGGGAAAGAGTGTGTTGTAGCACTGAAAGCTTTGGGGACTGAGAAAAATGCTCAACCGCTTCCCTAATGAAGAGTGACGAGAGGAGATGTGATGGGGAGGAGGTGGAAAGTCATACATGTATAGTGAATTTACAGATCAAGATGGGTTGAAATTCCTCATCTGTGAGAGAGCACAGCTCAAGCTCACTGGACTGACAGCGATATGAAGAAAATAAGGCGAGAAACAAGGTTGGAGCCCTTATTTGGCCCCGAGAACAGTTTTTCAAAACTTGCGGCAAGAACATGTCGAGTCAGTTGGACAGGTTCAAGCCAGCAGTGTTGACAAAGTAAACTTTCATCTTGCGTCATTCACTCGAACTTGACCACTGAACCATTTGCAGTCCTTGTTGATTTACCCCAAACAGCCATCAGCTGAACTGAACATGCATGGGGTTTGGCTGTTATACTGTGTTTGTGTATCCTCTCAGCCAGCTTTATTTTCATGAAGCAAGTTGGACTTAAGTCAGTTTGAATCTCCTTCACCATCAGCCTTAACGTTGGCACTTTCCTCACTGTTTACTGAATTATTATTATCAATTAAGGTTCAATGTGTAAGACATGGACCAAACTTTAGTTTTAAAGCACTAAAAAGTGAACAAACATTGCCAAAAGAATGTGAAGAAGTAACCATTATGACGTCATGTCAAAAACATGCACGCATTGTGATGCAGAGATACTGAGATGCCATCTGACTAGAAATGGCCTGTCCTTTCTGCTAATACTCAATTCAAAAGTGAGTTTCCAGTCCTCCCAAATGTCCCAATTTGGCATAAATAAAGTATATCTTATCTTTATTTTACACTATATGCTACAGCACACTTGAACACTATTAGAGAGCAGTGTTCATTTCGGCTTTCAGTTTCAGGCGTATGTTTGGGTTAGGGGTTAGGGTGTTAGACTTAAAAAAAACAACTAAAAACTGATGACTACATTTTAATTTTATGAATCAAGCTTTAGAGGTGAAATGCTGCCATCTATTTCTTTGGGAAATGTGGCCAGGCATTACACATTGTACCTTCAAGTATTGTCCGTCGTTCCTCATGTGGAAGAGATTTATTTTAGCACGCTTAAAGAATAACAATGTGGATGTTAAATATTTTCTTGAACAGCTGCTGGCTGGGCCCATATTTTTGGAAAGGAAACACACTTAAACACACATGAAAACAAAAACTTACCCCCACTTTTTATTGAATGAGGCTTTTATAGACACTGAACATCTGGAGCAGGAAGAGAAGTAATAAGTCACATATTGTCACTGACTTTTTATTTATTTAAATGAGTTCATTATCTTGGCTTGCATTATGATTATCTTATCACTTTTTCTGCTTTTATGCCTACTCATTCATTCAGTGGCTGTCATCCCATTAAAAGATGATTGACTTCAGTTCGTACACTGATAATCAGTCACACGTGTAAGAGCAAGCGTTACAAACAATATGGTATCTGCAGATTCAGTTCCTAAACCAATTGTTTGTCATACAGTTGCAGAAACACTTAAAAAAAGAATTGCTCATTTTCTTTTCTGCATGAAATCTTTGTGTGCTGCCATCTACTGATGCCTTATTGAATTGTTTGGTTTTGTGCCGTCGGGGAGTCAGCTACTTCCACATCTGGAAGGCACATGCCTTCTGAGACAGATGTGTGAGGGGTCAGGGGTCACCTGGGCCCTTTAAAGCAGATTAAAGAAGTAAAGTGAAAAACAACAGAGATGAACAAACCTCTGAAGTGGCTCCAAGGCTGGACGGCACAGAGTCAGACTCTGATGAGCATCACTCAGGTATGCATGTGATGACGAGCTGGTTGATTGCGCAAAAAAAACAGGAAAGAGGCTCCAGAAACTGTCCAGCACCAAAAAACATGTAAGTGTTTTTACATTAATAACACAGAGATTGGACATTTGCACCTTTTTTGGTTTTAAATCCACGTTTTTGGCAAATGTTTGAATTCTTTCCTTTTTTACTGAGAACTTCTGTTGCTCTTTTAATATAATAATAATAAATTATATTTATATAGCGCTTTTCTCAGACTCAAAGACACTTTACAGTGTGAGGGAGGGTAGACAAACATAACAACAAAACAAAAAAATCAACAGAAAAGGCGGTCAAGAGGAAGTTATATATATATAGACGTGTTACGTGGCGTGCTGCTTGTGTCGAGTCTTTGTTCCCTTGGCTCCTCTGCTCCTCGCTCTGCTCAGACATGTTTCTTTCTCCCCCCTAAATTCTCTTCTTTCAGAGAGAGGTCAGAGGCCAGGGACTGCGACCTACCCTGGGGGTGGGTGAAGGTCTCACCCCTCCCTCTCATCCTTGAAAGATGGCCCATTCCTCCCCATCTCTTTATTTTGTATACACCTGAGTCCCTTATGCTCTCTTGGATCAACTGACAGAGTGTATAAAGAGCTGCAGTATCCAGTTTCCGGCTCTATTTAGGATTGTTCGGGCGGATCAATAAGTGCTCCACAGGTTGTATGGGAGCATTGTGCGTGCAATGAAAGAGGGAAGAAACATGGAAAACTTTAGTGATCATGCAGCTTAAAATAAAGCAGTTTACAAATCCAATGGACATAATGACGCATGTGTAGAAGTAAATTACGTCCATTTGTGTGCTTACGTTTTCAGAAATATGTTTCTTGTTAGCACAAATCTCTTTAAGTTTTCCACATCCTAAAAAGAGGTGTTCCCATCATTCAGGTTCAGGGAAGTTATTTCAGATGAAGTCAGTAACATCAGTGTATGATTGTCCTCCATGTGTTTTGATGTTGACCCTCCTCCCTCCTCCCCTACCCCCTGCCTCCCCCTTGGCACCGGTCCTGCATGTGTGTTGGCTTAGAGGAATACTTCACAGAGCCTTCGGGAGAAACGCGTTGCATTACACGCCATCGTCTCTGGCTCGCTGCGTCCAAAGCGAAGTGTCGCTGGCCTCTGTCTCTGCTTGTGCTTCTCGGAACACGTTTAAACAACTTGCCTCCTCAATGCTCCTCATTTCACATGTTGACAAGCCAGACAAGCAGTGTGTTTGGGATGAAGCTGGCCCCGTCTCAAGCTTGTGTCTCCAGTGATCGGGACAATTTTTACTCTCATGCTCCGTACCCAAGAAATAAGATGTTTCTTATGTGCCTGCAGCCTGTTATCTACATTTCAAATGTGAAGGTTATACAACGGATCCAGTTCATTCCTTTTTTCGTATTGCTTTCATTACACATTTTTGGCCACCTTCCATGTTTTATAACTGTGCAAAGAAAAGTCACCTTTATCGACTTCCTCCAATTCTTCGTTTTGTGATTTATTTCCTAACCAATAAACTAGACAGGTAGATTTTGCGGGTTAAAAGTCCCTGTGAACAGTTGAATGTATACATTTTGTGAGGTTTAACGAGCGGGATATGAGATTCTGCCCTTCAGCTGGTGGCATTCCTTTGCTCCTCAAATGCAATTATCTTTTCCCATTTGTCTGTTTTTGTTTGCCCCATCCTTCCCTCTTATACTCATTTCCTGTTTTGAGCTACACAAGGCTTTTAGCCCCCCCTGCCCCCTCAACCTTCCCTCTTCCCATAAGTATGAGAGCATATCTGTTATTTACAGCCCTCAGGGGCTACCTGTCATTCTCACCGCTCCTTTGTGATTACCATGGTGACACCCAAATTCCACGGAGCGCAGGTCCCGACCCCCACTCGCTCCGCCATAAAGCTCTGACCCCTCACCTCCACACCTGGGGATGCAGGTCAGAAAACGAATTGCTGTTGATCAGAGAGTAAAGGTCCTGGAGCATAAATGACGGGCAGACACAGATAGTTAAACCAATAGATATAAAGTATATTTAGTTTGTTTACTTCTTTATGTTTCCTGACTGGCTTTATTTGTGTTTCTCTTTTTATTATATTTGATTCATTTCACAGAATAAGATACGAGATACTAGATTCATGACAAAATAATGGCCTTGGGAAAAGTCAAACTCCATAAAATAAATAAACTTGTGACGCCTTGCTGATCAAAAAATGTGTTTTGTAATGTGAAAGACAGTATGCAAATGTTAAGATAGAGTAGATGTTCATGTCACAGCCTGTCCCAGCACTAACAAAATAAAGGAATGAGACGCTAGCAGTCAATATTAGCACATCTTTAGCGCTGGAACTTGCAATGCTATTCTTCAAAGGTATTCAAAGAACGCAAACCTCTGCCAAAAACAAATAACCTGCCTTGCTCTGTTAATGAACCATTTGTTTATCAGCCCAGGGAATCTGTTACACTCCAAAATAACAACCAAGTTTTAATTTGCATAACAATATACAAACTGTTGGTCTAAGAGAAATTAGCACACACAATTAGCACACAACATCACACTGAAGCATTTTGAACGTAAGACATTTTTAGGTTTTACAATATTGTACAGATGTAAGACACAATGTTTATCTTATTAATAAGTCAGCTTTAAAAGGTGTTGCCAGGTAGATTTTGAAACGTTTTTTAAAGTGTTCCAGTTCCAGTTTCTTATGCTAAGCTAACTGTTTGCATGTTATAGCTACAACATGGCAGAGGTATTTCAACCCAGTCTCATGGCATTTCGTGTTCACCAACACGATTTTTAATCTATTGATTCGTGTTCACCAACACGATTTTCCCCTTTTTTTCGTGTTGCACAGCACGATTTTAAAAGCAATGTATTTCTATTGGTAGTCTCACGACATTACGTGTTATAGGAAGACCGGAAGCTGTGTGGTTCATAAAAGCATGTTCTTACTCAATATCAAGCCACAATTATTGCTTTTATTTTAAATCGTATAATTTCGGACTTTTGTTGCCGTCTGTGATGAAAATAAATGGGGCTGAGAGCCTCAGGATACTGAAATCTGTATATTTGTAAAACTTTTTTTCCTTCTAAGTTGTTATTCTTTTCAAAATAACGCACTGTTATTTACTCACCAATAACACACAATTATCCTTGTTTTTATTTATTTGTTTAATTCCATAATCTCTGGCTTTTTTGGCGTCCGTCAGGAACTGAATTTCAAAATAAAAATGACCGGAAACAGATGTAGGCATTTCGAGCGATTACCCAAGATCCTCAGCTATGGTTTAAGCTCGCCGATTGGATGTTTTAGCCGCAATGCATGCTGGGATTTGGTGTTTATATGATATGAAATCCGGAAAACATTTTTAAAAGAATAAAATAATACTTAATTCCGTGTGTTCTTGCTTTTCTCTTTGAAAGTCATCACATAACGGCATTGTAATACACGGTTCGGCTGCATTACATATTAAAGATCTGCCGTAGTTCTTTATTTATAGAGCCCTGATGAGAAGACCTTTGGAAAAACTGGAAGAA